CTCAGCTCTTTTCTGAATCGTCTCCATTTGTCAGTTGTATGTCCACTCACACCTCGCTAAAGCTTATTTTCTTTAACCTATTAAAGTGCTCTTTCTTAACAAATACCTTAATAAAAGAAAATTAGACTGAGTAATCATGCCTTAAACATTCCTACATAAATATTGGCTACTCTGCCTCTCGTGCTTTCTTTTACTTGCTCCCTCTTTCAGCCCCCTTGAGATATTGAACAGGTTACTTCATCCTGCACCATCCTTAAAGCCTTGGATATCCCAAAGGGACATAAGGTTGCGATTTCTAGAAGCTCATACCTTCAATGGACCTATTCTTGACCATCAGTCGCACATTCACAACGCAACTCTCGTGAAGCGCGCCAACTGTAGTATTGATTAAAACAATCTGCATTCATGTCTTATAAATTTTCAACCCAGCTATGTAATTTAATACAGTGTATATTGTATCATTTGTATCAATTTGATCTTGCCTGTAAACTGGCATGCCTCATGTAACAAACTGTTATTTGAGAATATATTATTATTATTATTATTATTACTAGTAAATCCTTAAGCCATTTTGAAAGAGGTTCAGCAATACCATAGTTTTCTGACTTCAATGACAGTCTATTAGTTAGCACCTTGTCGAAAGCCTTAATGAAGTTTATGTAGACAACATCCACTGAGTTTCTATTGTCTAGCACCTTTATCCAAAATTCCCTTGCTATATGGATAGACCCTATAAAGATAGACCCTTTCCAAAACCATACTGTTCTATGTTCAGCAAGTTATTCGTTTTCCATAAATGCCGTTATGGTCCGTTTGACTATTCTTTGCAATATTTTAACTGCAACACTGGTGAGGTTTACAAGTCTGCAGTTTGTAGCGTGGCGTCGAGTTGGGATTAACTATGAACACCACTGCCAAGGATCGCGTGCCAAATAAATCAGAAGGCGAAGGTTGAACGTGACCAAATAGATCTATAAAATCCCCGAGAAGCCAAATATCAGAAGGCAGTTAATGGACCAAGTCGAGATATATTTGCTGGCGATCTCGTGGTATCGAAAGGATACCGAGATCGTGCCAAGATACAAGCTTGGTTACAGAACGTAACCGAATTCGCGCGAAGTTACAATCAAAGTGTAAGAATAAGAATAGAAGCACAATATAGCTGTCATTAGCACAGTCAAACAAAAGCACATTAAAACAAACACTGGTACAGTTGGTTAGAATAATAATTGTTTTTATTAAACCAGTCGTGTTCTCGTGATAAATGTGAGTCACTACAAGTTTGATGGAAGTTGTCTTGGTCCTGTTTTGTGTATGGGAGTGACGATTGCGTCCTTCCAGTCCATAGGCAACACACCTTGGTCAGTTGATATATAGAATATCACAGTCGGTGGGGCCGCGATATATTGTACAATATGTCTCGAAACTCTTTTTTTGGGGGGTGGACTTGTGATTCTGTTGACTGTTGCTAAGAGCCTTAAGTACATCGTCTTGACCGAAGTTCACGATGAGCATATGGTTTGTTGACTCTGTTTTTTGGTCTGATTCTTTGTCTAGAGGAGGTTCCTGAGTGAAAACTGCCCCAACTTAGTCAGCCATAGCCTCTGCTTTTTTCTGATCATTTCAGATTCATTCCCTTCTTTAATTAGGTTGGGAATCCAGTGATGCATCCTTGTTCTGCAGTTTATGTACGAGGAAATTCTCTTAGACTGCTTGAGTGCAGAATCAGCCAACTGCATTTCATATTTTCTTGAGCTTCCGGATTTTAATTATACATGTGTTTCTTACCGATGTGTAGCGTTCCATCGATCCTGCTGTGCCAAGGCTGATAGCAACATTCCAACGTTTCTTCTTTTGTCTTAATAAACATCGGATATCCTGGCCTATTCAGGGATGACCGTTCTTCTTCATCTTTGGGACTGTCCAGGGTATTTATGGTAGAATTATCCGATTGCTTTTAAAAGCTACATAAGAAAAAAGGATGATCACACCTAATAACGATGAAAATGAATTCAGAACAGAAACGCAAGTAATAGAGCTGTTATTTCAGTGAATTAAGGTTGAACCTTAGCTAAATTATTTGTCATAATGAATGCATCCCTACGAAAGATGACAGATCATTGAACTTTAGAGCGTTTGCCATGAATTTTGAGGATCAAGATAGGCTGATGTCGACTAACCGTTTGATTTCATACGATTTTCATGTATAGCGGCTTGACTTTATGCTCTGTCCATATTATTCTTTTCCACCCTTATTAAAATATGATTATACTTGGTAAGATCTTGCCTACATTGAATTAAATGTCATCTGCTTACCATGGGACAGTCTGAGAAGCTGTTAGACACTATGACTTCGAAGTTGGGCCATTTGATTGAAGCAGCATCAAAGTATTTAACCAGAACGAGACAAACAGATAATCGATATAAGTAAGCTCATTATACTGAATAGGGTTTAAGTCTACGAACTCAGTTACTGTACAGCTTAGATGATAACCTAATAAGACATGCCATAAGATGATTGCACTCAAAAGAGCTAAAAAAAGCTAGCACATTTTTGTATCTTAAAACATATGAAATTGTTTGGGAATTTTTAGGTAGACGTTGCTGACATAGTTTGCACCTTACATCATATCCATAACTACTTATAGACATTGCTTTCTAAGAAGTGTGTATATCTACGTGCCTGACAACTAATTCTACTTCCGGTTCTACTCTTTTGAATTTTTACGTGTAGTTAGTTACGCCTCCCAAACATCTGTAATGAGTGAAATCTCAGTATTCGGTCTGAATACAAAACTAAAGAAACAAAGTTTATTGAGTTAGGCCAACCTACGTTCTTCTGTATAGCGTGCGAAGCGTTTTTGAGCGACTCATATACAACTATATCAAAGCACAAATTTTGTGCTCATTTAAAACGGTTCTAGTTAAAGAAAAAAACACATTATGTCAAATGTACAAAATATCTCAAACGGTACAGCCTATGTTATGCAATAAAATAATCCCACAGCGCAAAATGACGTACCAAACAGCAAAAATGAATAGTTACAAAAAATATTCGATACCTAAGGGTCAATAAAAGTAATCCCAACAATATGGGATGAAATATCTACCTGTAAGGATTCCAGTAACCTTTTCAAACAGAAAGATGAAGATTAACGAACATACACTGGAACACACTGTGATCTTGAGTTGAGTCAAACACTACCTTATTGTCAGTTATCCGACAACATGCAGTTGTCAGATCGAGTAATCAATGGTGATTTTTTAACCAAGGTTGAATAATAAAAGCTCAGATGACGATGAACAAAGGACATGAGGTATGGCTAAGAGACCTGAATAAAGGTTAGAATGCGAAATAGTGAAAAAACATAAATGACAATACTATCCGATGAAATGCTTTGGAGGGATTTTATGCATATTTTTTCCGTCAGAAGAAGAGATAAAAAAACGTAAGCAATACGAATAACAACACGAACGGAAGACTGACGAGTTTAAAAAACGGGTTTGGCCCAAGTATAAAATAATGAATCAAAAGGGGAATTTATGTTCACTGCTCATTTACTGTTCCTTCTTAATGGAATCAAATTACGGGCTCAGAAGATAATCACTAAACTATTCGATGAACATGAAGGTATTAATAAGCGTTTACAATTTTTTGTTATTTATATAATAAGGATTATTACTGATCCGTTTCTGCTTTTCTATGTGCACACTGAGCGGATTACTTGGGTGAAGTATTACGTCACCGGTTTCAATATTCATCATACGTAATTACTGAGTTTTACCAATAACAGTAAGTTGGACGAGACACTAATCTATGGACAAGCCAATCAGAAGCGTTTTAGAGATTTCAAGGTTATGGAGCCAACTTCAGGGCTCAATGCTAACGTACAATGGGTTCACAAGACATTTTGTGCAAGAAGTGTTAATTGAGAGACTATAACAAATAAAACGGCAAGAATAGGATTTGTGGACGAACCAATCAGATATAAGATGAGAAATCTTGGATTTTGGCGTGAAAGCCTTTCATCCATTTGACTAAATAAATTTCTGGCATTATAGCTTGTCAGAAGGGGTTTGTGGAGATTTTTAGAAATTTTCCCAGATTGAAATCATGAGTCAGTTGAAGCTAGACCACCATTGAAAACCTGGAAGCACTGGACGGTTAAGTGCTCGCGCGCGAAGCCAGTAGGTTCTGGGTTCGAGCCCCACATGGTGCGGGATCGTGGATGCGCACTGCTGAGGAGTCCCGTACTAGGACGAAACGGCCGTCCAGTGCTTCCAGGTTTTCAATGGTGGTCTAGCTTCAACTGACTTATGATTATAGCTTGTGTCAATTCGTGAGGAAAACCGTAAATCTAATTCCTAACTAAGACAAATTACGACAGTTATTGCGAACTGGATAATAAAAGCAGTAACACTGGCTGCAACCGGGTACTACAATATATACGGATGATTGGAGAGCGTGTCGTTATCCACAAGTAGTATTTTATGTACTCAAAACCTGGAGTGCACATAAACAATATTGAAGCTATGTGGTCGAGGCTGAAAGAGTTTTTGAGACTTTATCATGGCTCCAGAGGCCGGCTATTCTGTTGCCGTATGGATGATTTCCTCTACTGCATACACTACAATTTTAGAATCTCTAAACCTCTTTCGAACCTTGATAAGTTTTTGAACCACGTATAAGAAGTGTATCCACTTTATTTCCTTGGTTTTGTATAACATAATTTCATTCTATACTGACTGTTTGCTGATTGGTTCATATTTCTCAAGGTCACTTAAGATTCATTCAAACGTCGTCCATAAATTAGAGTCTCGCCGATCAACTTTATTTCACAGAAAGAGAACAACGAAACTGTATTCTCTTCTATGTCATAGATTTATTCAATTTTCCGCAAATAAATAAGGGTCTAGACAACAACAATAACAACAAAGATTTACATAAATTTGATAAGTGATTAAATAAGAATTAACTTTTTCGATAGAATTACAATCGATTACATAATTCTACAATTACACCACATTCTATTTCCATGTAATACATATTGAATTAATTTAATTAAACAAATAATCATGAAATATATTGGTAAGATTAATATCATCATTATAATTGTATAGAATACTATTAATTCTGTTATTGTCCATTCATAAGTTAATTGTATAGTTGTAATCCATTCCAACACAACACCGATCATATTGGAAATATGGAGATGTGTTGAATAAAATGTTTTTTGATTCATACGTAAATTACTGTAATAATATGTATCATTGAATGAATAATTTTCATGAAGATACCATTCTGTATCCCACTAAGAAATAAAGTAAATTAATATAAGTAGTATGTAATCAGTAATCATTTTTAAAAAATCGTATTTCATATGTCATTTGAATTGTAATTGTTATATCTTAACGAAGATTACATAATGAGTAACATCTGAGACTTATTAATAGACTAATATTATCTATATATTCTTATGGTATAACTATTCAGTAATTAGATTATGTATATCTATATTCCCCTTATTATAAGCTTCATTTTGACCTATAGATTATTATTATACGGTTTACTGTTCTTAAGTTATGTTTAGTTTATTGATTACAGTCTCCCACGTTTACAGCCACATTTTAGCTTTATTGTGTATGAATGTCAATTCCTATTTTATGGTGCGATACGATCTGTTCGGCTGGTATATAAACCAAGTATGTTTGAAATAATTGATTCTCATAGTGGAAACTATTGTTGGTGTTCTCAACTCAACTGAATGGACTAAGCGAGCAAAGGATCAATAAGGAGGCTAGGCTGATCAGACCACTCGAAGGTCATCGGTTCAATACAGTACAAGAGTGAATAAGTCGTATTTCGATTGGCGAATAAATTACGTGATAACTAGCTGGACTTAAAGTCACAACAGTAATCACTTTCGGAATTGCATTTTTACGCTACACTTTTAGCAACACTTTTATTTATTGCCAGAAATTACCCTGATTTACATTTCTTTTAGCTAATTGATTATGCCTAATAAATACATGGAACTTCTTCAATCAAACTGAATGTTTACAACCTATTGTATATAGAATTAATGTGAAACTATAAAAGAAATGAGAGGCGATAAATATAGAATTCATGTAGAATATAGAATTCAAATATACTTTACTATCAATGAAGTGTTATGCGGGGCTAGACTGTTTGTAATCATTTATGAGTGATAATGAATAGGTGGTAATTATCACTGTTATTAATATCAGATCATAAACGTGTTTATATATATTGAGAATATTCACTTGTTAAGCGCTTGAGAAACAGGAATTTGTTCAAATTCTCCATATTTTTTGCCGAAAATTCTTTATTGCTTAATCTCCCTACCTTGAGAAAATTTTGGGGTTTTCCCCAATGTTCAATGGTCTCCAAAATTTTAGGGAATTTCCCAGAATCTGTGGAAATTTTGGGGGTTTTGTACCACTTTCCTAAAAGTTTCTATAGCGGCCTCCCCAAAATTTCCCCGAAAATAAGGAAATTGGTTGTACTACAAAAAATTGTATTTAACAAAGCCAATTTATCAATATTGTACGTACAGGGTCTTGGAGGTTGCTGAGTTTCATCACCATTCATTGGTGAACTAACATTGATCAGTTCATCATTTCAGTGAAAGCGAGTATTATTAACGCTATAAATAACATAGAAATGACTGCAAACAAATCACTTAATTAAATCACAAAAAATTATCTCAGTCATGTTAGTATTTCGGAAACTGTGTTCAGTCAGTCACAATCAACGTAGATTGGGGCATAAATGTGTATTACCCCAGTTTGTCTTGCGACATTCACACCATGAGATGACGGGTGGACTGTAGCATGGTGTTTTACTCGTATAATCACGTAACATGAGAATCGAAATAATAATAGTATATGTATACATCTATGGCGTCTTATGTAGACATTTTATAAACGTTGATCAAAGGTTCGCAACGTAGGGATTTCTCTCGACTATGGATTTTATATAATGAATATAGTAAATAAGTTGACACAAAGACATTGTTAGTGATGTTATGAACTTAGGAATCGTGATGTACACTGTCTCACAAAACTGAATCATTCAGGCTAATAATCGGACAGAAACTGGTTGAATACTTTTCATTCAGTATGAAATGTTTAGCAACGCCAAATGAGCTACAATCCTACAATAGATGAATATATTCCACTGGACAATGCAAGAACTTGAGCTGCCATATTAACTACTCTTGATAATCTTATCTATAACTGAGGTGAAAAATGATATATATATATATATATATGATAAATATTCAGAAGTGCATGAACTGCTAATTGTTATATCTGCGTCACCAACTGTTATGACTGGTTGTTGCTAATTAGAATCGCTGATTTCTTATGCTTCTAAAACAAGAAACCACTGCATTTCCCCACGACATGAAACACGAATATCCAGACTGGTACAAATGAAGATTTATTAACACCAAAACATGACGATAACCTTAGTCAAAATGACATTCATTGATATATTGATTTATACATCCATTTTGATTATTAATTAGAAGGATGAAATCACATCAATGAAAAATATCCAGAGTCCTAACAAATTCACATGCTGCATATCATGCTGAGCCTGGTTCATGTGAATTTAATACAATAATATCGTATCTTGAATCACCTTCACACTCAAATAAATTAATATTATTATACTGAATAGATTATCATAATGGAAAAACAAAAATATTACTCTGAATAACCATTATGTTGAATTAAAAAAACGGAAGCAATGCTGATCAAGTATCACATTGAGTAGAAGAAATGTCATTTTTGGTGGATTGGTTGAAGTTTGACATTAACATCGTTGGATTACGATTCAGCGGTCTAGAGGTTAAGCGTTCGCACGTGGGACTGATAGGTCCTGGGTTCGAGCATCGCGGGGGCGGGATCGTGGATGCGCACTGCTAGGACGAAACGGTCGTCCAGTGCTTCCAAGTCTTCTATGGTGGTCTAGATTCAAATGACTCATGAATTCAACTATTAAATGTAATTTTGCTTTTTAATCCGGATCACATCACTCATAGTTATTAATTTATCTTTTTTGTTGAGAGGATATATTTGCAAATATTACATGGAGGGAAGGGGACATCAACTACAAACTGTTGCTAATTTCTGATGATTTCATATGCTGAATGGCTGGAAATTAAATTTTAACAAAAAAATTAAGTAAGTACTGATGGTTCGCTCGGTGACTAATTGTTGACAGTTATGACATAGTTTAGAATCATGCTCAGTAACACAGATGCATTCAGTCTTTGTCTTCCATTAGAAATGGAGTCGCGAAATATCCAGATACTTTTTTTCTTCTTCCTATACCTAATCTTTCTAAACTCTACTTATAATATTGAAGCTTTTACCATTCTGGGATTTTGTCTTAGTAACTTTACGATGATATACTAATCTAGTGTGAGGATTTGAACCGATACACGTTTGTATGGGGTTCTAAATTAGTTATGTTAGATTGATTGACTGTCAGTCAATCAATCATTCAGTCTATCCGTTTAACTATTGATCATTCCGTTTATGAATTAGTCGGTTAATTAATTAAATAGTAAAGCAGACAACTGAGAATACACCAACTCATACAAATAAATAACAGAATTTTTACTTACACTTTTTATGATTTTTGATCCTGATTGAATTAATTCATTAATCTCTTCATTTTCACAAAATAATATATGACCCTGACATTTACTGACTTGTACATATGATCCAATACAACGATTAGGTAACGAGCAATTACGAAAACGTTTATGAACACCAATACCGCATTTAACTGAACAATCTGTCCATGTAGACCATATAGTCCATTCCAATGGCGGTGGCCTATGTTCACAACGTTGTCCAGAATAACCATTTTGACATATACACCTTAAAAATGTAATAAATCATAGTTTAGATAAGGAGTTTTATGCAGTTCAATTCAATTCATAGATGGTTGTCATTACGGACCAACAACAGTGAGGATACCTTCGAAAACCAGTAAACATTAGATATCTGTGTCATTCTGGCATAAGACTCCTCGACAATGAGTAAACAAAACCCGTTCAATACTCAATAGCCTAAAGGTGATGCACTGACTGAGAGTTCCTGGATTATATTTCTGGCCTGATAATGGTTACTCACAGATTTCAAAGGAAATACTCATGTTTTCGATTGACTTAATGACAGAAAGAATTAAATGCTCAAAGAGGAATTTCTAGGTTTGATTAGAAATCCAATTCTACTATGTACTGAATTATGGTGATGCAGTGAATGAAACAGGAGAATCAAAGAATTTAAAAGTAAATAGTATTTTGTCTAATAACAGAATTATTTAGAACAAAATGAATGTCAAAGTATGTTTTGTAATAATAATAGTGGGAGTTCAATGTAACAAGATCAAAGGGTTCATTCAACCTTCCTTCCCCTCTAAATACATATTGTTTTTTATTAGAGATCTCTTTTAAGAAAATTAAAAGTGTTATAACTAGAAAATTGGCTCCGTCAGCACTTTTGTAACTAATTAGCCAAAAGTTATACTTGGTGAGTTGTTGCTGTTATGTACTTATCACAGTTGAGTTCGAGTTCCAGAGTGAACATCAACTTTGAGATGCTAGCCACTGTCCATCTTTGCTTAGATTACTTGTGAATTAAGGCAATATCGAGGCAATCCGCACAGTATGCACATATGCCGATAAGAGATTGATCAACTGTAGTCCTAAATAACAATGGGAAGATTCAAACAAACAATACCATGTGAATTTAAATAATGAATATTTTAGCTCACTGAAATCCATAGGTTACTTCTGTTACATCATGTTCAATAGTTGAATACGGTTCTTTATCAATACAAATTCCACCATTTAAACAAATATCATCATTTGTATATTCTAAACATTCATTTATATTAACACATTGTGGATTAGTTGTACTGATCGCTTTAAATCCAATTGGACATTGACATCGATAACCAAGTTTTGAATTAGTTGGATCACGATAACAAGAATATTGTCCACATAGTCCATGTGTTTCTAAACAAGGATTTCTTGGTTCCTAGAAAAAATGTTAAATATTTTATGAGACTAATTTTCATTTAGTAGTATAAGGCATCATGAAGATTGTTGACTCTGTGGTTTCTGCATTACTTAATGATCTTAGCTAAACAAGTATTGAAAACTAAGAAACATAATCTCGACCTCATCTGGAAGCCTACCAAGGTTATTGAGTCCTCGTGTTGAGCGCCTGATAAACTCAGTGGTCTGAAGGTTAGGAGCTCTTCACAAGGTATGTAGTTCATGTGTTTGACTCCTAGTAGGATTGTTAACACTCACTACTGAGGATTTCTACACTTTACATGCTGTAGTAATTCTATTTCAAGAACAATTTATATTTAGGATTTGTCAATAGAATGTTTATAAAATCAATGTAACATGAATGGTTACATTACTTCACATGATAATCCTTTCCATGCAGGTGGACATTTACAAATAAATTCAATATTAGGAATAATTCGTTCTTCTTCTGGTAGATATTCACATTCTCCATTATTTAGACAACTGGAAATAAACACAACAATAATAGTTGAAAGAATATGGATACATTAAATAAAATATATGCAAATGAAATGTTACATAGGTTCATAGCTTTGTTCATGGTTATACATTCTTTTTATTTAATCATGACTTTGGTCTTTATATCCGATGGACTAGGAAGAAGGACACTTCGTCAAGATTCCAAAGAAAGGAGATCTGAGCAAATGTGAAAACTACAGAGGCATTACACTACTGTCAATACCAGGGAAGGTCTTTAACAGAGTTTTGCTGAACCGGATGAAAGATGCAGTAAACATCCAACTTCGAGATCAACAAGCTGGATTCCGTAAGGATCGGTCGTGCACGGACCGAATTGCGACACTACGGATCATCGTCGAATAATCAGTTTAGTGGAACTCGTCACTATACATCAACTTCATTGATTATGAAAAGACCTTTGACAGTGTGGATAGGAGGACATTATGGAAACTTCTTCGACACTACGGAGTTCCTGAGAAGATTGTCAATATTATCCGGAACTCATACGACGGACTACAATGCAAAGTCGTGCATGGAGGACAGCTGACAGATGCATTCCAAGTAAGGACCGGAGTCAGACAAGGCTGTTTACTCTCTCCCTTCCTTTTTCTCCTGGTGGTCGACTGGATTATGAGGACCTCGACATCTGAAGGAAAATACGGAATACAATGGACAGTTCAGAATAAATTAGACGATCTGGACTTCGCAGATGACCTGGCCCTCCTATCGCGTACACACGAACAGATGCAGATAAAGACAGCCAATGTAGCAGCAGTCTCTGCATCAGTAGGCCTCAGTATACACAAAGGGAAAACCAAGGTCCTGAAATTCAAAACGGAGAACAGCAATCCAATCACTCTTGATGGCGAAACTCTGGAAGATGTTGAATCATTCACATACCTGGGAAGCACCATCAGTGAACAAGGAGGTTCAGATGCAGACGTAAAGGCGAGGATTGGAAAAGCAAGGACAGCATTCCTACAGTTGAAGAACATATGGAACTCAAAACAACTTTCAACCAATATCAAAGTGAGAATCTTCAATACGAACGTCAAGGCAGTTCTACTGTACGGAGCTGAAACTTGGAGAACTACAACAACCACCATCAAGAAGTTACAAGTATTTATAAATGGTTGTCTACGCAAGACACTCAATATCCATTGACCGGATACCATCAGCAAATGCCTTCTCTGGGAGATAACAAACCAGCTTCCAGCTGAAGAAGAAATTAAGAGAAGACGATGGAAATGGATAGGACATACACTACGCAAATCGTCAAACTGCATCACGAGTCAAGCCCCGACTTGGAATCCTGAAGGGAAGCGTAAAAGAGGAAGGCCTAAAAACACATTATGTCGGATAATAGAATGAATTACAAGTGGAAGGAGCTGGAAAGGTTTGCCCAGGACAGGGTTGGATGGAGAATGCTGGTGAGCGGCCTATGCTCCTTCATGAGGAGTAACAGGCGTAAGTAAGTAAGTTGGTCTTTATATAAACAACTTTTCTTCATGAAATGACATTAAATGGAGAATCTACAAGATCAGCACGATATCATTTAACGATCAAGCAATGATCAATGTTAACCAACTTGTGATTCTGTCTATTCTTCATTCGATATTATCGGTCAGTTTAGTAGGCTGAACAAGTATAGACATATAAGTTGTTTGAACTCACATATATTTTTATGGTTAAACAGAAGGTGGTAGTGGGGAGACTATAATTTATGAAGTAACCAATTAGGTATAAGATAACAGGTCTTGGATTTTGGCATGAAATCCACTCGTCCATTTGACTAAAATTGGTTTAGGCATTATAGATGATATCAGGTCGTGATGAAAACCCGAAATCTAATTCTTAACCTTAACTATCAATTGTAAATCATAATTATAATTCCTCACACAGGTTTATAATCCACATTTGGTCCTAATTATTAAGTGGACACCATTATGGTCAGTCTTGAGTCTCTTAAAGGTCGTCCATAAGTTATAGTCTCACCCAGTTATGATTTGTATACACTTTATTCGATATAGCAACTGATGGTAACTCATTTGTAGTGTGGATTTTGTAGACCGTAGTAAATGTATGTTATAATTAAAACGGACTATAAGACAAAACAGAGTTATTACCTAATTTTAAGTTCATTTATTATTATTATTAATGGCTTTATTCAATATTATATTTCCGGTATAATATAGAATTCTCAGAATAGAGCATTTCAACAAGTTTCCTTTTCTTATTCTTTAATCGACCTTTGCGATAAATATTGGGTGATCGCTAGTTAGATGTTAGCAGTTTAGGAATCGACATTTGAATAATGCATAATGTCAGCAACCACGCTATCTCTGATCGGGACCTTCTGTAACTTGTACAGCGAAATGTTGTAAACTTGTCACAAACGCTCCTGAATAGACTATACAATTAATGGGCATAATGATATGTTAAAACAAACAAGAAAACAGATAACTTTTTGGAATATCCTGATGGCAGGAACAGATAGCCCAGATATTCAAACAGGCCGCCTAGAATTGATTGACTCACGAGACTGTTTGTAAATTTTCAGAAAATTTCAATCAAAACTTAAATACATATTTCATCGGTTATTGATGATCATTAGACAATTATGTTTGGCTAGTTTATTACTGTACGCTAATTTAACAAGACAGTATGATTTTGAACAAACTTAAATGTGTGTTAGGCTGGTGATAGTTTTACACAATAGTGAGTTATTTAAGCTATTGTCTGTATTAGTACTATCCAATGTGTCTTTTTCTTAAACACTTGAACAATAACAGTTTAACTTCTTCCTTATCCACAGAAAAACCTTGATCAGAAAACATACTGTAGGAAGAACAATGAAAGCTTTGTCAGTATGGAGTTGTGAAATTATGTAGTTTTTAATTGAGATCATGAACCGATTAATGTTTTCAATGGCGGTCTAACATGAATCGGTTCATGATCTCGATCAAAATGAAAGCTTTGTTTAAAAAAGTTAGTTTGTGTACGAAAAACAAATTCATTCATAGGATTATGCGTCACCTTGGGATTTTTTGACATCTCTTAGAAAAATATCACAATCGTTAGATAATTCAGAAATTGTTCAATTAGAATAAATAGAAGAATGATGAAAGCTCCACGACTAAACCATCCACTTCAGAGAACAAAACTCCATTAAAATCATCCACCTGAGCTACAAATCTTCTCTACCATCTCAAAGAATACATAATCAGTGATTTTCTAAATTTCTCTTTGACGTTACTAGAGAAGAATGATTGACCCAAATATTACCATCATTTTTAATGGCTTCTCAAAACATTCCTAAAGAATTATTGACGAGTCCAAATACTACCTTTAATACAGTTTTCCTATTCTATGATCATACACAAATGTATCCAATTCAATATAATTAAGAGGAGGTGATATACATTGTTCTTAACATGACTGAAAAATAATTCAATCAAACTCAATGATTTATATACCACCAATATGTGGAACATAATAAGTAATCGTGTTATTATCTACAATAATTGATTTCAATAATTGTTTAATTCAAAGAAGTCGTAAGCAAGTGAATCAGCTATAATATCTCTTCGAAATCAGGATACATTCAACAACATGATCCTAATAGCTACTTAATGAACAAGTAACGTTAATACTATTTAAGTCACTCGGGAATAAAATCACAATTTGAATAGGTCATTACTTGAATCATCGTCTTCAACATTGGATTCTCTCAGATACAACCAATTCTGAATATTGTTGATATGCCTTACTGATGTGTAGAAAATAGTACAAAACCAATCACAAATATATCAACAGAGACTGAGGTATTAATTTGATTCTAATTAACATTTAATTTTAATAGTTGAATTCATGAGTCAGTTAAAGCAAGATCACCACTGAGAACCTGGAAGCACTAGACGGTCTTCCCGTTCTAGTATGAGACTCTCCAACTGTGTGCACCCATGACCCCTCAAAAAGGACTCGAACCCAAAACCTCCAGTCTCGTGCACGAATGCTTACCTTTAAGACCACTTAGCCGCATGCGGGTTTGTGGATGTGCACTGGTGAGGAGTCCTATACTAGTAAGAAACAGCTGTCATGTGCTTCCACGTTGTCATTGATTTTCTAGCTTAGATTGACTCATGAATTCAACCATTAAAATTACTACAATCTCCACAAATCCTCATTCTGATAACATTTAATTGATAATAATAATAATAATATACAAGATGAATGATGTACCTTAGTTGTGACATAAATTTATACACAGAAAATAAGCATCTAAAGCTATACATAGATAATGGACAACAAAAACAAAAAAAAAACTTACATAGAAGAATCACAATGTTTTCTGATTGGTACACACTTCTTTAATGTATGGTTAAAAGTGTAATCATTTACACATACACATTCATAATCATAAGCATAGATTGATCCCAATTTGTTTCGTATATTTAATGGTACATTATTCAAAAGTTCATCATTTGATATTATCATACACAAACCGTTACTGTTTATATCATCATGACAGACATTTGGTTTAGCACAAGGATTCGGACAATGTAAATCCGTATGCTAGAATAATAGATAAATAAATATATAAATAGTTTGATGAAATAGTCTGTAAAAATTAGTTGAAAATGTAGGCAGTTATCGTCACAGATTAACATTATCTATGATATTGTGATGTATGCTACTAATATTAACAGACATAAGTAGTATGTAACACCGGTCAGCAATGGAATGCTTGTCAAAAGAGGATGGAGAAGATTGAATTGAATAGAATCGAAAGGGAAACAGAAAGGAATTGGAATAAAAATAGAATTTGCAGAATCATGAAGAATTTAGAGGACAACGATGGAAGATGGGCAAATAAATTATTTAGTGTATGTTTTTCTTATTTCAAGAAGATACTCCGCAATTTCGTACCTGAGTTTCCGCTTATGACATTACCTCTATTTTTTAGTATGAGTCTTATCAACAGTGAACATCGATGACCCAAGCATAGATCACACTCCAGAACCTTTAGTTGACTCAGGCAGTGATTGATCTTTTGACTAATAAGTGTTGAACGACTTGTGGTTATACACTGCCCATAATTTCTGTACTAAGACGAAATGGTTTCACAGTGGTCCTTCTTTTTCCACGATATATCAGCTGGCCTCAATCTTTGACGAGACTCCCCTATAAATAATGGGATGCAGTGGTCAACTGTTGCTAATAAAGTGGTTTGTTTGAATTTTAACGTGATTTTATAGTGGAGACCCTAAATTGCAAACTAGTTTTAAACATTAGTAGCCTGTCAGTTAGGCTAGATGATCCAGCTACGAACTGTACTTTCATTTTCATTCATCTTCAGAATTCTAATTGTGAAGCTCTTCAATAAAAAATCATTTATACAATGGTTATGAGTCTCAATAATTACTGGTGTTTATGTTCTGAACCTTGAACATCGCAGACGATTAATAGAATTCTACCGCTTCAAACTTTTATTTTACAAACCTCTAACTAATCAACAGATGAGATATAGCTTTTGAACAAGAGATCTTTTAGATTTGTAAGAAGAATTTATCTAGTAATATAGTTTTCATTCAATTTGAAATGAGTTGAATTATCCCGTTGTTGATATTGTAACTAGTTGGCATATGTTCATCCTGTGCAGATTGCACCTATATTGTCATTATGACACAAGTTAATATAGAACAGATGGGATGTGGCCAGTAACAGAATCCAAAACACGAATCTCATTCTATTTGGAAATCGTCAGCTGGATGTACATGAATTCCAGGGTTGATGTCTACTACGCAACTCGGATTCAGCACCCTTCACTTCATACGAGAACGTATCATTCATTTAGCTACTGAGTCTAGACAGCTACTCACGTTTACCACTGGTATGGTTTTAATTACCCTTCTCGTCAATATTTTGACCTAAATAGGACAAAATCCACATCACTGATTCCACTGCTGGCTGCATTCCATATAACCACAGAGTCGATACAAATATTAGCTGGTTTGAATCTTGGCATTGTTGATATTAATGGTTTTTACTGGTTAGTCTTTATTAAAATATATAGATCCTGAATAGATTGTCTCGACAGTCCATTTTTCAAAAAAAAATTCAAGTGTAGATAAATCATGGTCATCAATAAAATTCATGATGACAGTTTTGTTCTTTTTGAGATTTCTCAGATGAACTTGACTGTTGATGATTGGAATCATGAACCGATTGATGTTAGATTACCGTTGAACACCTGGAAGCACAGAACGGCCGTCTCATCCTATTGTGGGACCCTCAGCAGTGCGCATCCACAATCCCGGATGCAGGACCCAACCTCAGCACCTCCGATTCCACACACACGTTTAATCTCTACAACACTGAGTCGGTATCAAACGGTGCCAATGTCAACATTCAATCAATCCACCATGTCGTACCACCATCTTTCATTTTCTTCCGTGAGTAACTAACTCACACCTAACACGGTTGTACTCAAATATATTCTGAAAGCACTCAAGCACAAAATGACACATTCAAAATGGCTCCTCTGACAAAATAGATGTTAACCAATAAAAGGGCAGTCACTTTACTAGTAATTAGCTCAACCAATATGATACAAGAAAAAAGAGTAAATTCTGATTACTCTTAAGCAACATAGTTGGAGTACAACAGTTTCACAATAAGCTTGAAGAATAGACGAGGAAGTCAGAAGACGAAAGTAAGTGGGAATATTAAAATGAAAGTATAGACTGAAGGGATAAATCATTCGTTTCAAAAAAGGAAATATCATTCGTGAGATTGATGAAATACATCTGTAAACTATATAGAGAAGGATGGATAATGGGTAGCAGTGGAATCCAGGACGCGTGTTTCATCCCATTATGGTACTCGCCAGCTAAATTCACGTGCATCTCATAGTTGATGTTCATTCTGGGATTCAAACCCAGTATCGTTCGCTGTTGATGTTTACAATCGGAATTTCATTCCATAATAATCTACTTACAGTCTCCTTGTAGTCAGATTAGTAAGTTCGTACATAAAAATAAAAGACAACACAACAAAACTGCTCAGATCATTGAAAATGAAAAGTACAACTTCAGGGTATTTTCCAAAGTAAATACTACAATTGATATTTTACTAAATGAAATATGTAAAGTAGTACACTTGAGGAGGTTTTTAACTATAATTAACTAAATCAATATAGCCAAATCTTATATAAAATTATTGTGATGTTTCAAAATACCAGCTATGAATTGATAAGTCTTGTTAATTCGAACGCTTTATTCGGTTCCTAAGCTATTCTAGTAACCTGCAAGCTAGAACTACGCAGCGACTTGAACTTGAGAGGAAAGGCGCAAAACAAGCGGAAAACACTTTACTCCAAAGGCTCATTTTTGTACAGAAAAACACGGGTATTTATAGATATTAACGTTTGTTAAATCGACATCATGTTTTGGCCGATCCGCTAACAGACATATTATGCTACTGACCAATAGTAGCACACCACGTTGGCATTCTAGAAGCGCCATCATGCTCTGATTGGCTAGGATTCTTCGGCTCCTTTAGGGCCTCTGCAGGCTCCGTTGCAGTCGACTCAACAATGAATAATGCATATATGTACGATTATCAATGTTGAAATATACCAAAAAGCATAATTTGATCAGTACACAAAACTTATACAATTCATCGAGTATCATTTGAAAATAACAAGTTACTCATGTACAGACATATTATGTTTTCATACTCACAAGGTTAAACGTAGGTGACAAACTGAAAACGAGGCATGCTATTGAAATAAATCGACAATCAACCTATTCAAGATCTCAGCTTATATCTCCTGATCTAGGTCAGAATGACAGTCGCATATATGTATATATATTGTAGTAAGTTCATTCAACTAATGTATTATTTATATGCTCACTGTAATTTAGACATTTAATCCACTATGTAAATTTCTGTGTGAGTATGATTGAGGACATGTGTCTGCACATCAATTTTCAATCTATTCTCCCATTATTTGTAACACACAGATAATCAATAATTTATTCATACTTGATTAACACTCATAAATATACATGAATTTTAACACCCATATATATATGTAATCATGGTTCCCCTTGTTTCCTGCATGCTTGCGGATTTTGCCAATCTTTAACAATAAACTATCTATCACTTTAGGGGTTGTGGAGATTAATAAGTTTTTGATTAAGATCATGAACCGATTGATGTTAGACCACCATTGAAAACCTGGAAGCATTGGACGGCCGTTTCGTCCTATTGTGGAACTCCTCAGCAGTGCGCATCCACGATCCCGCTCGCAGGATTCGGACCCATTGCCTTCCGTCTAGCGCGCGAACACTTAATCCGCTGAGGAGTCCCACAATAGGACGAAACGGCCGTCCAGTGCTCCTAGGTCTTAAATGGTGGTCTAACATCAATCAGTTCATGATCTCAATCACAAAAAAATAAACTATCTCTATAACTGGTGTTTAGGTTTTTTGAATAAATCTCAAGTAAATCCATAATACTCAGTTAACCGGATACTATTTATTTGAGTCAGTTATAGGGGAAATTAGCCTCTACAATATATATATACATATATCTATGATATGTATCTATTCTATTTTGTCTTGACGACTAAATTTCCCCATACATCCTACATAATTTATACCATAGGACACAAATATAAACAAATTATAAATATCCATAAAACTGATCAATGAAACACTTACACGTTCACGTAAACATTGACATATATTGATTAGAAATGAAAGTATATTTAAATATCCCCCATCATAATATTTCCCAGTACGAGTAAATAGATTTCTTATTGAAATAGTATCAATTTTCTCATAATCTTCTTGTGTAAATTCATAGATTATATCAATCAAACTTTTATGTATTGCTTCTGGTGTACAAATTGTTCTAATAGATACATCAAAATAAATGTATAATAAAAAATATATTTCATAGGTTGAAATCATGAGTTAATTGAAGCTAGACCACTATGGAAAACCTGGACGCACTGGACGGAGAGGGTGCGGGATCGTGGATGCGCACTGCTAAGGAGTCTCATACTAGGATGAGACGGCCGTCCAGTCCTTCCAGGTTTTCCATGGTAGTCTAGCTTCAATTGACTCATGATTTCAACTTGTGAAATTTCTAAAAATCTCCACAAAACCCATTCTGATAAAAATATATTTATCATGATATGAAGTGAATAAGTTGTTAAGTTAGTGTTTTATCCAAATGAAAATAATGAATGGTAACTATTGGGATCAATACTAAATGTATATTTTTATCGTATAATTGTTATGTAACTAACCTATTTCCATTCATGCCCCTCTTATTATGAGCTTTATTTTGACCCATGAACTATTATTATACGTTTTACCATTCTTGAGTTATGCCCAGTCTAATAATTACAGTCTCTCACATTCACAGTCACTTTTGGCTAGTATCTTGTTCAAATGTTGTTTCGTATTTTATGGTACGATGTGGTCTATTTGATTAGTATATAAACTCAGTATGTTTGAAATATAAGGATTCTTATTACAGAGGCTGAGACTGGTGTTCTGGACTTAACTGGCTGGGTTAGGCTGAAAGTAGGATCAATCAAGAATCTAGACTGCTCGTACGTGTTTTACGCGTTCTTGATCCGATCGATAATTCGCTGCTTCTGATTGGTGGCTTTGGGCTATAACACTTATTCAATATGGGTGCATTTCAATTTATCACAGACTGGAACTAGTGATATTGATTCTATGATGACAATAATTAGGATTATTTGTTCAATCTAATTAAAGATGAATATTTTTTTTTTCTCAGATGTGAAGGCGCGGATCGGCAAAGCAAGAGCAGCATATTTACAACTGAGGAACATCTGGAACTCAAAGCAACTGCCAACCAACACCAAGGTCAGGATTTTCAATACAAATGTCAAGACAGTTCTACTGTATGGGGCAGAAACCTGGAGAACTACGAAAGCCATCATCCAGAAAATACAGGTGTTTATCAACAATTGTCTACGCAAAATACTTCGGATCCATTGGCCGGACACTATTAGCAACAACGTACTGTGGGAGAGAACAAACCAGATCCCAGTGGAGGAAGAAATCAGAATGAAGCACTGGAAGTGGATAGGATACACATTGAGGAAAGCACCGAACTGCGTCACAAGACAAGCCCTCACATGGAATCCTGAAGGTCAAAGGAAAAGAGGAAGACTAAAGAACACATTACGCCGAGAAATGCAAATAGACATGAGAAAAATGAACAAGAATTGGATGGAATTAGAAAAGAAGGCCCAGGACAGAGTGGGTTGGAGAATGCTGGTCAGCGGCCTATGCTCCATTGGGAGTAACAGGCGTAAGTAAGTAAGTAAGTAATTTTTTTTCTGGTTAGCGTTTTTTTAGCGAGTTAGTTTTCTACGGGATGGGGACGCTAACCCCATGCCCAACCCTCCTCCTTTATTCGGGCTTGGGACCGGCAGTAGCCCCCGGAGGGACTCCAGGAGGAGTTCCAACAGACTGGAGAGAAGGACTTCTGATCAAAATACCGAAGAAAGGCGATCTCAGCAAGTGTGATAACTACAGGGGCATCACTCTTCTGTCAATACCGGGAAAAGTCTTCAACAGGGTATTGTTAAACAGGATGAAGGACTGCGTAGACGCCCAACTTCGTAACCAACAGGCAGGATTCCGTAAGGATAGATCGTGTACAGACCAAATCGCAACTCTACGGATCATTGTGGAACAATCAATTGAATGGAATTCACAACTCTACATCAACTTCATTGACTACGAAAAAGCATTTGATAGCATGGACAGAACAACACTATGGAAACATCTTCGACACTACGGCGTGCCTCAGAAGATAGTCAAAATCATACAGAACTCATATGATGGATTACACTGCAAAATCGTGCATGGAGAACAGTTGACAAAATCCTTCGAAGTGAAGACCGGTGTTAGGCAAGGTAGCTTACTCTCACCCTTTTTCTTTCTCCTGGTGATCGACTGGATCATGAAGACGTCAACGTCTGAAGGGAAGCACGGGATACAGTGGACATCTAATATGCAGTTGGACGATCTAGACTTCGTAGACGATCTGGCCCTTCTATCCCAAACGCAACAACAGATGCAGGAGAAGACGAACAGTGTGGCAGCAGCCTCAGCAGCAGTAGGTCTCAATATACACAAAGGGAAAAGCAGGATTCTCCGATACAACACAGAATGCACCAACCCAATCACAATTGACGGAGAAGATTTGGAAGATGTAAAAACCTTTACATATCTGGGCAGCATCATTGATGAACAGGGTGGATCTGATGCAGATGTGAAGGCGCGGATCGGTAAAGCAAGAGCAGCATATTTACAACTGAGGAACATCTGGAACTCAAAGCAACTGCCAACCAACACCAAGGTCAGGATTTTCAATACAAATGTCAAGACAGTTCTACTGTATGGGGCGGAAACATGGAAAACTACGAAAGCCATCATCCAGAAAATACAGGTGTTTATCAACAATTGTCTACGCAAAATACTTCGGATCCATTGGCCGGACACTATTAGCAACAACGTACTGTGGGAGAGAACAAACCAGATCCCAGTGGAGGAAGAAATCAGAATGAAGCACTGGAAGTGGATAGGATACACATTGAGGAAAGCACCGAACTGCGTCACAAGACAAGCCCTCACATGGAATCCTCAAGGCCAAAGGAGGAGTGGAAGACCAAAGAACACATTACGCCGAGAAATGCAAATAGACATGAGAAAAATGAACAAGAATTGGATGGAATTAGAAAAGAAGGCCCAAGACAGAGTGGGTTGGAGAATGCTGGTCAGCGGCCTATGCTCCATTGGGAGTAACAGGCGTAAGTAAGTAAGTAAGCTAATTAAAGATTCGATCTCAATCTACTACTCAGATCTCACATGATTAAGATCTACAAAATGAATGAACAAACAAACAAACAAACAAACAAATTTCGCTTACATCAATGATTCTGGTATCCAATATCCTTCTTTAATATATAATGGTAATTCATAATTTGCCATTTTTATATATTCCCAACTTAATTCATTTGACCAATCACTTATCCAATTAGAAAATTGTAATAATTTTAAATCTTTTACATAAATTGGTAAATTCAATAATTTTCTTAATTTCATTGATGTAATTGGAATATTTATATATAAATAATTAAATAAATAAATTTCATTTAATAATAATAAAATAATATAAAATTTTATAATAAATTGTTGTTTTAATCTTTTTTGATTTTTTGCTGTTGTTGTTGTTGTTGCCATGGTTTTTATGAATTCAAGACACACACACGCGCACGCACATGCACACACAAACACAAAAATTATATATATATATATATATGTTTGAATGGGATAATTTTATTGATTAATAACTGAAGGTCAATCGATTTAAATATTGATTTTTATTTTTCATAGGATATTCAAAAATCAATAATATTTGAATTCATTTGATTATAGCGACTCACGTGCAAATGAGTTTAGTCTCATCTAACGCAGTTAAGCCCTTTTGCTAACTCATTTAGCGGACAAAGTCATCCGCACTATAACAACTTATTGTACCCTAATTGTTTTGTGCTTGTATGAAATACGTATGCTTGAATATTGATTACGGCCCGCGCATTTATTCACTCTGCTAGTCTTACTACTAACTGATTATTTGATTCGATTACTCATCCATTTCACATGGTATATATATGTCCATGTTATTCATATTCAACACTCATTCACTCACTCAGTCACTCACACACTTTCGTCTCGCTCTTGCTCTGCCTCCCGCTCGCTTGCTTGCCTTTCGGCACAACTCTTCTATGCTTGTTTAATGCATCTGTACATTTGGACATATGTGTGTGGTCTCGTAATAAACGTAATCAACACTTCGTATTTGCCTTCTGATTAATATACCGTTGGGACGTTATATAGAACGGTTATCAAGACGAACTGTATACGAAGTTTAAGGATTATATCGAATACCGACCACCACATGATATTGTTTACTTATATCTTCCCATTGATGTTTAGGATGATAGATATGCATCCTGTACGAACTACCTCGATATTGCTTTAAGTCATAAGTATTATTATAAGCAAAGGTTGATGGTGACTAGTAATGAAATCCAAGAAGTACGTTTCGTCCTAATTTGGGATTCGTCAGCTAGGATGTACCTGTATCTCAGAGTTGATATTCACTCTGGGACTCGAACCCATTACTGTTCGCTTCAAATGGCATCACGTTATTCATATGAATACTGAGTCCTGAACATCAATCGGAAGATACAAGTAAACAATATCAAGTGAATTTAAACGTCACTTCATACATTTTACTCATAGTGTTTATTACATTTAAATAAATTCACGTTTATATAGTAATTAGTGTCATCGGTTGATTCTTTTGTTGAGCTCATTTCTGTGTAGTGTATCATACTACTTAATAGCTATAACTAGTTTAGAGATGCGATTCACTTGGTATTGTTTGCTTGTATCTTCCGATTGATGTTTAGGACCAAAAATTAATCACTCTCTCTTATTGGGGTTTATGCATCCTGTGCGGATTGTCTCGATATTGCAGCACAGGATGCTCATATTTCAATGAGAGGCTGATTAATTGCAGTCCTAAACATGAATGAGAAGATACAAGCAAACAACACCAAATGAATTTAAACTTCACCCTATTAAACAAGCAGGAGGTTATCAGGACTCAGTAGCTAATTGGGTAACGTATTGACGTTTGATGTGAACGGTACTGGGTTTGAATCCCAGAATGAACATCAACTATGAGATGCACGTGAATTTAGCTGGCGAGTACCATAATGGGATGAAACACGCGTCCTGGATTCCATTGCTACTCATTATCCATCCTTCTTTATATAATTTACAGATGTATTTCATCAATCTCACGAATGATATTTCCTTTTTTGAAACGAATGATTTATCCCTTCAGTCTATACTTTCATTTTAATATTTCCACTTACTTTCGTCTCCTGAATTGCTTGTCTATTCTTCAAGTTTATTGTGAAATTGTTGTATTCCAACTTTGTTGCTTAAGAGTAATTAGAATTTACTCTTTTTTCTTGTATCATATTGGTTGAGCTAATTACTAGTAAAGTGACTGTCATTTTATTGGTTAACATCTATTTTGTCAGAGGAGCCATTTTGAATGTGTCGTTTTTGTGCTTGAGTGCTTTCACAATATATTTGAGTACGACCGTGTTAGGTGTGAGTTAGTTACTCACGGAAGAAAATGAAAATGGTGGTATGACTTTGTGTATTGGTTGAATGTTGACATTGGCACCGTTTGATACCGACTCAGTGTTGTAGAGATTAAACGTGTATGTGGAATCTGAGGTTCTGAGGTTGGGTCGTGCATCCGGGATTGTGGATACGCACTGCTGAGGAGTCCCATAACAGGACAAAACGGTTAAGTACATGATTGGTTCATGGTTACGATAAAAACTCATACAATCTCCCCAATCCTCTACTGATGAATTGTTATTGTTGTGTTATGTATACCTTTTAATCAATAATGTTTTCAAGATATCATGAAAAGTTTTTCATGTGTATTATTCTAGTGAGTTCAACGACAATTACCTCATTTGTTTCCCTTGATAACAAGTGAACTGTTCTCAAATTTAGGATATAAAAATTGTTATTGTTTATAATCACTTATTGAAAAGATGCATTTTTCATATGTTTATGCTTTGGTCGTTGGATTATTTCCTGAATATTTAAGAATGAAAAGTGTATGAATTAATATTGATCAGTTGAGTAAATCCCGTCTTCTAATTTCATAAGATAACCAGTTTAAAGCAGTTAATCTCACTTTGATAAATTTAGATAATCTAATAAGAAGACGAAATTTATCAGAACTATGTGATATTGTGGTGAACCGGAACCCAAGTGCGGACATTCAAATGTGTTTGAACTCCAAATTACAAAATCTCTGCTTCATTTGAAAAATGTGAATCGACTGTCTCAAAATGGACTATTCCTACGTTTCCACACCAACTACTCTATGTTCCGGTTCTCATTTCTTCCATCTTCTTAAACTTCTGCCGCCAGACATTTCACTTTCGATTGATAATACATATTTTTGAAATATTTCATTCTGGATGAGACTTGTTATACGGCTAGTGGGAGTTGGATGAAATGAGTTTGTTGTCAGCTATTGTTATGGTAAGTGTGTCAAATAAGCATATCGCCAAGATCAACCTAAGTGTTTCAATAGAAATGGTTTGAATAGTGGTCCTAAGCACTGGCCTTGGGCCATAAGGGCTGAACGACAGCCAAAAACAGGTGTCACGGAAACAGTAACCTGAGCAAACAAGTATTAGGATGGGTTTTACTTGCGTCTCATCCTATGAATGGTAGCAATTGGAAAGTCACATCAAAACCAGTTACAGTACCTACTATTGGTCGAAACCGTTTGCCAATATACACACAGACTGCTCTGCCGTTTCGCTACAGTTTTAATCAGGTTGAAAAGAAGTATCTGTCGCAAACAGTATTTTAATCATACATGCTGATAATTAAATGAAAACTAAAATTGTCACTGATGAGAATGCACTACAAGGCGAAGTCATAATCATTGGTTATTTTGAAAATGGAGGAAAAATTATTGACGGAACAACATACATATTAAGGAAGCATACAGTTAAATGCAGGAAATTTTATATAGACCAGATGGGTTAAGGGAGTTATGAGACGGAACTGTGAGATTAGTAAAAGAGAGCAAGTAATAAATAAATAGCATGATTAGAGTTACTACAGACAAAAAAGAACTCTACATTGTATGATTTGGCAACTAGGTACATCAAGCAATAGCAGTAATACGGTAACAGACACCTGAGAGGACATGGTTTATATTGCGAATGATCAGACAATTAAGGACTTCCATCTTACCACTTCGGTAACTGTCTTGTATTATGAATCGTGTCCTTGAACGTTGTACCGAATCGTGCCATTTACAGCAAAGAGACACAATGTAAAAAAGAAAGCGTAGTGCTTACCTCATAAAATAAGATATTTTTAATCAGTGGTATACATAACAGTGATGTCTTCAATAGTAAGGATGGGTGGTCAGTCGACCTATATCGGTCAATGCAACTTGTGGTACGCTTAAGGTCCAATATTGTTCCGAATATATCATCAGGTGCTGATTTAACGTGTCTTGGTAGTGAATTGCAGTAATTTACTACTCGGTGCAAGAAACGGAACTTCAAATGTGAATTATTTTGACTCAGTTTTTGAGCTTTCTTGGGGTGTTCTCTCACATGATCAGTTTCAGATGGAAGGAAAAGACATATATATACCAAGATCATTTACTTTAAGGTAGGTCAGTATTCGATCACCCTGTTAAGCACGAAAGGCCCTTTCTAAACTATGTTGTTTCATGACTAAAATATCATGTTTTCTCACATACTTTGGGAAATCCGAATGACCTTTTCTACTAGTTTAACTACACTGGTAGGACTAATTTATCGATAGTTACTAAGTCTCTACCCGCTGATTTATAGATTGGACTGATTGTTGCGTCTTCCCAGTCTCTTGGCAGTTTAGACTGCCTCAAGGAAGTATAGGAAAGTGTGGTAGAAGCCCAGCTTACATAATACTAGGATAAACATCGACAGGACTACTTAACTGGTCGACAAGACACCATTGCATCGATCAACTGTTGGTCTTTCACCATCGTCAGCATAAAATACTTCACTAAAATGTTCTAATAAGACTCCAGCCCTTACAACATCATTTCTTGCTAATATCGTTGGATATTCTTAACATTGAAGTGGTGGGATCCCAGCACTTCTCATAGTTCGCCTCTTTACGTATGAGAACAACCTTTACGGACCATTTTCACAAGCCCTAAGCAATTGTTTTTCATATGAATGTCTAGCCTTACTTATGTACGCTTTGCAGGCACCCTCGGTTTTACAATAAGTGGATTAGTACTGTACGAATAAACATACTCCAATGCTTTTTCCTGCATCTAAGAAGTTGCTTGACCTGTTTACTCATTCATTGTGAACAACTGTTGATTCGACGTGGTACTAAGCGTCGTACAAACAGGGACGTAACTAAACTAAGAGTAACTTTAAATATTGATTATTTTTCTTTTATTGATGGGGCAGTAC